CACAAACACAACTTTCATTCGAACCCAAGCAAATCCAATGTCAGTTTCACCCTTGGAAGCTGACCATCGTTGACCCCAAACTCAGCGACTCACCTCCAAATCACACCTCATCACAATTCGTATAATCGCAATAACCAGCGTTATTATCCGAATTAGCGTTGCGGATAAGAGGAAAAGAAAGGAGTGGACGTAAAGGGGTGGGAGGGGAAGAGGAGGAGGAGAAGGAGGAGGAGGAGGAGGAGGTTGGCCGTAATTACAGTAAATATCACGTAAGACGTAAATAACTACGCTAACCGGCCTGCCAGTCGCAACTCACACGCTAAGTAGAGAGTATCGGCAGATATCCGGAGTCTTCGTGTCATCTCCCTCACGCGGATTTGCGGGCCAGAGCCTCGAGATGCCGGCCGCGATAATAACAATTTTCGACTCTGTAACGCGCTCAACGAAGAAATTATTGGGCCCTGAAAATGTGCTCGTTACAGGCGCCCGGACGAGCAAATTATTGGCCCCGAAAATATGCTTGTTCGAGGCGGGGGCATCAGGTGTAATTATCGCTCAAGTGGGGGAGGTTGTTTGCGATGCCCTGGTGAGGCTCTGGTCTCAGTCCCTCCACCACCTCCGACCACGTCGTGAAGATGCCAGAGACCAGGCAGGGAGATAGGGGGGAAGGAGGTCGAGGGAGATGTGTGGGAGAGAGAGAGAGAGAGAGAGAGAGAGAATCTTCATAACTCTGTAAGTAGAAAGCCAAATGATAGAGAAGCAAAAGTCAGGAGGAAGCAAGAGAGTGAACAAGTGCGCATTACAAACAGTAGGAAGAAATGTAGCGAGAAGAAGACACCAGCAAAAATAAATGCAGAAGTATATGCGAAGTAAATTATTAATGAAGTTGAAAGAGACAGAACTGAAGAAACACGAAGAACACTCGAATAACATGAAAATATAAATATTCATGAAAACTGACATGTATTGCTCACGTTGCGTTTTGTATTTAAAGATTATGAAACCGAAGAGGCACCAGCAGAAACTGCTGGTATTTACCTAGGAATATACTATGCAGTGAACCTTTATTTTGTATAAACTGGGAGAAAGTTCGGGTCTGGTAGCCAAGCAGATACTTAAAAATATAACGGGTCATCATCTGATCTAAAACTCGTAACATGAGTTACTGGCCAGTTTCCTGGGGAATGAAACACAGCCATTATTATGTATGAGGACGATAATCAGGAGAGAGTGATGAAGCATTTAGAGATAATTAGCTTCCTAAACAATAACCAGCATTAGCTTAGAGATGGCAAATTTTGTCTTACAAACTTGTTAGTTATTTACCAAATAGCAGAAATGAGACAGAGAGAGAAAGGGCGGAGGATGGAATGCATATTCTTGGACTGCAAGAAGGCAATTGCAGCTGTATCTCACAAAAGAATGGGACTAAAACTTAAAGAACAGGCAGGAATAACAAGGAAGGCAATACAGTGAATCAGTAGTGAATGCCCGAGAAGATGCATGAGAATGGGAAAATGCAACAAGGTTCTTCAATGAGCGGCATTACGGACAGTGCTCTTTACGGTATACATGAATGACATAACAGAAGAGCCAGAGTCAGATATACCCCTGTCTGCAGATGTTAAATTAACTGGGAGAGTACAAATCCATGAGTATAAGAAAATGTTCAAATGGACCTGGACGAACTGAAAGTTTGATCAGACAAGTTTCTACTACAATTCAACCAAGACAAATGCAAGATTATGAAAATTAGGGAAGGTGTAAGAAAATCGGAAACTGAGAATAATTCGGTAAACAGAGATTGTAACCCTTACCCAGGGTGAAAGATCTAAGGGTAAGCACAGTGTCGAGAGGAGCACATCAACTGAATAACCTAGGCAGTGAACGCTTGTTTAGCAAATCTTCAGGAACCTCAACAAAGAATCAGAGCCCTATATGCGACATTTGTCAGGAGCATCTTGGAGTCTGCAGCACCAGCATGGGACCCTCTCACCTGATAAAGTATGTAAGAAACCTAAGAACATGCAGAGGCATGCAGTGATACTAGTACCAGAGCTAAGTGGAATGAGCTATGAGAAGAGGCGAAAGTAACTGAACTTAACGACTTTCAAAGTTAAAAGAATTAGGGAAAAACATGATAAAGACAAGAAAAAAATATTGAAAGGACTTGACTAGGTGAATAGAGACAGACCGACCAATCAGAATGACCTCATCTTCTGATTACACCACAACGCAGGGGCTAAGACGTGAGCTTCAACAGGCTTCTTTTTTTTAGAACCTGCAAAGTGTTCCTAATTTCCTTAAGAGTGAGTGTCTTAACATCAGTAACATCAGGAATATCTTCTCTTATCTACATTTCCTCAACACTTTCATACACAATTGCACAAGTAGAGCCGTTAAAATTCTAATAAATCAAAGTAGATAGAAATAGCAAAGATTTTATTTATCTCTCCCAATTTCAATATTTTGGGCAACACTTCCAGATTACTCGGCAAAATCAACTCTAACATCGTTAACTTCAACTTTATTCCCATAAACGTCCTTACAAATATTCCACCCAAGAAGAAGAAAAAATAAAGAGAATATACCATTCTCTGCAAAAACTGCGACAATATCCATGTGAATGAGATGGAGAGAGATTTAGATAAACATATTAAAAACACACAATCGCCATGTAAATAATACTAACAAAGCCTGAGTGAGTCGCCTCAGTAAACACAACCAATACATGGATTCGTCTAAGGCTAGATTCGTTATTCTAGAAGAAGACAAAGACATAAGAAAATGCCTAGAATAAACTCTTATCTAAGTTACTAACATCATCATGCACAGAATCAGTGAAATTTCTCAATTGGCCAAACTTCAGGCACACATCTTGCTCACACCAGACACTTGTTACATGACCTGTAAGGTCACCCATAACTTCCCTACGGTACTCACTACACATATATTTCAGTATTAACTCTCATGTTCTCTCTATACTTTAATAAGCTTTTTCTTTAAGGAAAAGTTGTCCAAACTGTTTTTACGTCATGTTAAACAATCTCTAATACTATATGCCTATTACGTTCAAAGTTTCCTTAGGTTTGCCACGGCAGGATTAATCTTCGTAGGCCCCCAAGATAGGTCTATAGATAAAAATACGCATTATGTAAAATGTATCAAGGACGAATTTAAAGGTCTTATGAGATAATTTTATTCAACAATTTTTTTATTAAGTTTAAAAGGTCAGTTTTTTTCCACATCTTTGACATTTGTGATTTTTTTTTTTTTTATATGAAATCTTTCTGTAGGCCGTCGACATTCCAACCACTGTACACAAAGTACAACTCAGCCCTGAGTACCGGTGCTGTTAGGGTATATTAGGTTAGAACAGATCGATAGGCTAGGTTACAAAGGATTATGTTATTAGATTAGGTTAGAACTGAATAAGTTGGGTTAGATTACGTTAGATCTGGATAGGTTAAATTCAGTCAGCGTAAATTAACAAGCAGAAAATAATGCTGAAAGAAGATCCCACAAAATTCGTAAATATCTTAACGGCGAGTGTGTTCTCTGGATGGATGAGCGGCTGAGTAAACACGGATACACTTTATGATCCATCAACCCAGCATCGTCAGAGAACGTTGGTTTTACAGTGTAATTAAAGAGCGTTGAAAAAGCAATGTTGTCACTTTGCCACAACTCTGGCAAAGTCACAACATTGGAGTATGAAATTTGTCCGTGTTAATCACATCCTGTGAACATATTACCTGGTGAGGCATTCGTGAATTATTGTTTGGCCTTCTTTTAGAATCAGTCAGTTTGGTTACTGTAGGTTAACTAAACCTAACCTAACCAGGTTCTTCTCTCCTCCACCCTCATCAGGTTTAGTTCTTAAAGTCTCTCTCTTCACAGCTCATACTCTTTGGTCCTGGGATTAGACTTGTTACAAATCGCTGCAACTTCTTCACTCTCTTGATATGGTGTAACAGGTGTGGGCTCCACGGTGGCGCTGCACACTTCAAGATGAGCCTGACAAATGATGTAAATAGAGCCACGAATGACGTTTTGTTAACATTCCTGAAAGCTGATTGCAAATTCGCTAAACGAGCATTCACTCGAGTATTTGCTAGGTCTTCCTCATTAAGAAAGGTTTGCCGTCCCTGTCCACTGAGCCAATTCTAAATTTCTGGTTTTCTTTCACCTTTAGAATTTTAATATAATTACATTTGTTGGGGTTGAATTCGAGTAGCCACTTATCCGACTGGTCATGCAGTTCATTTGCAGATTTTTTTTTTGTCTTCATCGGTTTTATTCTCATTAATTTTACAACATCTGCCAATGGGGTATATCAGACTGCTACTTCTGGTATGTAATTCACACATATCAGAAACAGTACTTGTTCCAGTACTGATCCTTGTGGAACCCCATCAGATACACGTGTGTGTGTGTGTGTGTGTGTGTGTGTGTGTGTGTGTGTGTGTGTGTGTACTCACCTAATTGTGGTTGCAGGGGTCGAATTATAGCTCCTGGCTCCTGTGTGTTTGTGTGTGTGTCTGCACAGTGTGTAAATGTGTGTATACCTGTGTATATACAAATTTATGCCCCACCTTCCGGTCAGTGACACTTGATAAATATGTCTGCGTAGTATCACGCTGTCTGACAGCGACTTAAGTTTCTATAAGCAACGCATTATACAACGTCTCACAGCAACAAACATGCTCGTATAAACTATACCATATACATACTCTCTACAAAGACATTTCTCTATTTAATTACATGTGCATCATCGTTACGCTCTATAGCAAAACATTATTTTTTATATTAAGTTTACGTATGTATTGAGGTCATTCGATATATATATATATATTATATATTTATATATATATATATATATATATATATATATATATATATATATATATATATATATATATATATATATATATATATATATATATACAAACATGAGCAAGCATTTTATTAGCTTTAATAAGTTATAAGTGGAAACTTACCGTGTGTGTTGTGTGGGTACTGCTGCAGCGTGGGTGTGTGGGCGGGGTTGTGGGTGTAGTAACGAGCTCTGTTCTCACGCCCACTTGAGTCTAAGGAGGTGAAGAAGCCATCCACCTCCTCTGGGGGGAGCAGCGCCCCCTGTTGCCCCCCGGCGTGATGACTGACAACTATCCCACTCAGGGGATGTTGCTCCTCCACGTTCATGGGCGTGTGGGCATCCATGGGCGTGTGGGCGTCTAGGGCGCCCTCGTGGGTCACCTCGTCCTTGAGGGGCATGCCAGAGTGCCCCTCCTCCATTGGGGGGTGGGCGCCCGTGCCTCCATCTGTGTACCAACCTGACCCGTCTTCCTCCATAGTGAGGCCACCAGTTGTAAGGAACGCTTCCTCCTCCTGTTCTCCCTCCTCCTCCTCCTCCTCCTCCTCCTCCTCCTCCTCCTCCTTCTCTTCCCTCCTTCCCACCTCTCAAAAGCACTCTACAAACTTCATGTTTTTCCAAAACCCTTATCACCAGTGATCAATAATGCCTCAGAAGGGTCTCAGTGTCCTACGCTATTCACGATCACTGGCTTGCTGGCGAATTTTAATTTCTAGTTCAAAGTCATTTTTTTTTAGTTCTGCGTCTTCTCTTCACTAAATTTCACTAAATTTGATGTCTATTTACTCTTTCTTTTTCCTAGTTTAAGTTTTCCTCTTCTCTTCTATTTTTTAATCACCAGGAAAAATTTTCTGCATTTCGGGTTAGACACTAATGGCGTCTCCCTCATGGGCAAGTCTTCTGTATATTTACCTTTCAATTTGTCTATGTTTTTTTTTCACTTTTATCACAGTTTTTTGGACACTCGGCAGATACAGCAACACAAATTTTTGTTGGGTAACTCGTAAAAAAAAAGAGTTCTATATTATCGTTTTACACTAACTCATCAGAGAGGACCTTGGAACGTTTGTTTTCCATGGTGGCACGGGCGTGCAGGCACACCTTGTCTCGTGTGGGCGTGCAGGCGGGCGTTGACTCGCGTGTGGGCGTGGCAGCTACAAGAACAGCAACAACAACAACACCAGCAGCAGCAGCAGAGGTCGTGGACACCTCACGGGCGGGTGACCGTTAAGTGTTATCTTGGGCGTTATCTGCAACACAAAGATGTTGATGAGGTTCACCAGCTTCCCGCTACCTTACCGCTTATCTTAGCCACTGCCGCTACGTCTACGCTACTAAGCATAGCCCTACAAAGTTAAGCACGACATTACTTCACTAAGTACAGCGTTACAGTGCTAAACCCACCGCTACTGCCCCACTAAAACCCACCACCACTACTCCACTAAAACCAACCATCAGTGCTTCACTAAGCCCACACTCACTACCTTTCCGCATCTCATCAGAAATCTCAACCAGTAGTTAATAAGTCAGTGCATATACTCAGAGGTGTACGTACACAGAGTGGTGTATATCTCTCGATGTGTACATTAAGAATTTAATCCCTACTTTAGAGTTTAAATATCGTTGATGTTAATTTTCAAGTGGAAAGCGGCCTTATGAACCTTCTCTATGTGGTCAATAAACTTTAAGCCTATCAGACTAATTTAACAAATCATAAAATATATTTTGAGAGATGTATATACTAAGATTCTTTTCATCTAGAGTATATGGTTAAAAATATTGTCTGAAGATAACATACAGGTTACATGATGCTTCAGTAATAACATCTGTAGCCAATAGGCCTTAGACCTAGCCGGATGCATAAAGCATACAGATGACAGTATTAAAATAAAATGTTGCAGAGCTTGATAAATCTAACAGAAAGAAACGTTATCCTAGTTTATTCTGCAATGTGTTTGTGTCTTCAACTTAACTAACTAGCGTAACAGATATTGGATCGAAATTCTGGGCCATCATGCAGAAGCCAGTAATATACATATTGTTGTAAACTGTTGGGTGAGAATGGGAGGAGGAGATTGGTGGGGGACTAGTTGAAGGTAGGTTGGGGAAGGTGTAGGTGAAGTGGAGGAAGGGGAAAGTGGAGGTGTGGCGGAGGGAGGGAAGTAGGGCAGGAGAGGTAGAGAATGTGGGGATGGGGGTGCAGACGAGGTGGGGAATGAGAAGCGGAGGTGTGGCAAAGGTAGGGCGGAGGTCGGGCGGAAGAAGCAGAGGTGGGGTTTGAAGGTGGGGCTAACGTTGGCTGGTTTGTTTCCGCTAAAATGTGGTGAAATATGGCGTTACGCTACGTGTTTATCAGAGCGAAGAAAACTGTCCAGAGTGTTAATGTTGTGACTAACATAGCGGCTATAAGATGGTTCTTCAGATTCCATTTGTCTCTCCACGAAGAAACTATAATAAATATCTCGGTTGAGCTAAGAAATATTAAAAGTAAAAAGAAGGAAGAAGAAAAAGGTTCTACCGAGGTAGAGTGACCCGAGAAAGAAGAAACACTTTCATCATCACTCACTCTATTACTGTCTTTCCAGAGACGCGCCTATACTACAGTTCAGTTGCTCTTCCGCACTGCAAATATCCCCTACAGTTCCTTCCGGGTGCAAGCACTGTACTTCCCACCTCCAGGACTTACTAACCGGTTTCCCTGAATCCCTTCATAAATAAGTATTACCGTGCTCACACTCCAACAGCATGTCAAATCATAAAAACCAATTGCCTCCACTCACTGTATTAATAATAATTGGAAAACGAGTCTGCGAAATTATTTTTCTGCTCTTCATTCTTCCTTTATGATAATTTATTCTTCCTTTTGTTTATCAAATTCTGTTCTGACATCCTCATCACAATATACATAACAAACATTTGATTTAAACAAATGGACAGGTGGATTACAGTTCATTGTATACGAACTGTAGTCCAGCTATTTTCGTAAGTTGATGTACAACCTATAGCGGATGTACAGAATGACATCACACAGAGGAAACTCTACCCTCCCTCTCCCTTCATCCATCTCCCTCTGCCTCCTTGTTTCTCTTCCTCTCTCTCCCTATCTCCCTCTGCCTCCTTGTTTCTCTTCCTCTCTCTCCCTCTTCCCTCTAGTGATCCAATTTCCTACCAAAAGGATGTTGTAACATCACAGCTCAAAGCTGTGTGGTCCACTATGTGTTCTGAAGTTGATGAAATTAACCTTTGTTCTCTGGTCTCGTAGGAGACTCGGGGCCCGTACTCGAGCCTCATTAGAAGAATGGCCCTGTTCTCTAACATCGTATGAGAACCAGTGGCTTTGTTCTCTAGCACCTTAAGAGGACACGTGGCCTTGTTCTCTAGCACTGGTGAAGGACGAGTGGCCCTGTTATCTAGAACCGTAGAAGGACGAGTGGCCCTGTTATCTAATACCGTAGGAGGGCGAGTCGCTCTGTTATCTAGCACCGTAGGAGGATGAGTGGCCTTGTTCTCTAGCACCATAGGAGGATGAGTGGCCTTGTTCTTTAGCACCGTAGCAGAACGAGTGGCCCTGTTCTCTAGCACCGTAGAAAGACCGTAGGAGGACGAATGGTCTTGTTCTCTAGCACCGTAGGAAGACATATGGCTCTGTTATCTAGCACTGTAGGAAGACATATGGCCCTGTTATCTAGCACCGTAGGAAGACATATGGCCCTGTTATCTAGCACCGTAGGCGGATGAATGGTCCTGTTGTCTAGCACTGTAAGATAGGCGAGTTACACACTGTACCCGCCCATCTACGGGACTTCCCGTACAAGGGCGGGTGACGGGAACACTGCCTAAAAATTTCTTCATATAAAACATTTAGACACATCAACAGTGTGTTGCTGTCCTACTCTCTTTGATAATTGCATTTAAAGAAGGAGAAAAGTCGGGAAGGAAGGATGTTTTAACTTTTGGAGCGACCCTCTGCTTTCTCGTATCAACCCTAATTACCTTCCATTCTCCAGTCTCGTTATTGCGTGAAACTCACGGGTTTAGCGCTTCTCTAACTAAAGCTAGTTATGCTTTTTATCGCATTCTATGAATTATGATGATTTTGCTACATAAGACATGAATTCTGTCTGCCTGAACTAAGAGACTTCAGTTAGGCAATGGGGATATCGTCAACATTCGAAGATTTTGTTCCAACAGAATTGGAGTTACTATCACTTGGGAATGTCAGTCTCTGAAGATTCTTGCACAGTGAGAGGGTTGGTGAGTACAGCATGTGCCGAATGTATCAACTCTTTGTGACAGTGTATCCACTGTTTATTCGGTGTTTTATACTTGAGATTTCTGCTATATAACTTGGCATTCCCAATGAGATGTTATTTGTAAATAGGAATTGTATGGGGTTGGTTATAGTTCTTCCTTGAGAACCCCTTTTCGATTTGGAAGAGTAGCAGAACGTATCTTCAATAGGGCCCTCTTGCTGTGCCCTCTGAAAAGGACGCAACAAATATTATGTATGCATATTGTTTGTTTTTTTTTCATATAATTTTATATTACTGAGTTTTTCGCTACATCTCTCATTATGCTCGTTGAAGGAGAGTTATGACTAGCTGCCAATGCTGCTAACTACCTGCTGCTTATTTCGCAGTTCGTGCCAGGCTCAAGCTGAACCTGTTGGCCCTGCTTCTCGCTCTCTCTCGGTGTTCCTGGTGACGGTAACACCTCCATCTCTGTTCTGTCTGGGAGAGCGCTGTTCTCCTCAGCTCGTGTTATATAGACTCAGTGTTTGGTAAAGTATGTCTCCGATGGTGAGCAGGGACATACATCTCGTAATTCTGTGCAACTCAGTTCATGGAGCATTATTTAGACTTAGTGATATTTGACGTTTTCAGAGGTTGTGTGTCGTTGAGACACTATATCTTTGGTCCCAAGTTCAACTCTCGACCTACATTGTTTTGGTATCTGTGTACTATCATAGTCGGGAATTTGGAATTCCTGAACTCAGTTTCAGTAATAAACGAGTTTCATGCCTTTGTGAAGGATCTGCTGAAGGTCCACAGTTAGGGCCGTTTTGTTCTTGATTCCTTGCCTGACTCTGTGCTGTTCACCGCTGCTTCGAACATTAATGCTGATTGGTGAATGGGTCATCATACTGTTCAAGCAAGTTGTTTGATTGCCTCGATGGTCCAGAAGTTACCTTATTTAGGGAGTTCTTGTTGTCAGTCACGTTCTATGTCGAGGTAATCCTAGCACATACACAAACACATATACTTACACACCCTCAAGTTATTTATTTTGAAGTCTAGTACTTATGAGTACATCTTATCATAGCAACGTGCCAAACGGTACATATAAAGAGTAGTACAGTATTTTATCAAATGTGCCCACAGCACCATACGATTATATGTACAGAATAACTATGATACATAAGTATACTAAGTTATACTACAAGATTTGAGAAGGAGCTTATCGCCTGAATTATTCATGGACTAGAATAGCCTCTGATAAACTGTTACAAAACCAGAAACATGCCAGATGCTAGAGGGGGATAAATAAGTTGACCTGGTATTCTCTGGAGATATCTTCACTTAACAGATGTCGCATTCTGTAACACTTCTTAAGTTTCCAGTGATGAGGCATATAAAGAAATTGTTATATATCCCTTGTTTCTTGTTTACATGACCAAAAGTCTCTAATGATTGGTAGCAATATCGAGAAAGGAATTAATAAAATTTCCAGCAGTTTCCAGTGTGGGGGTTGCTAAATGGGGGCCACTTGTGGGGTTCTTTATTTTCCCAAGAGTGGATAAAAAAATTATATATGTCATTTTGTCAAGCTCTGTGCAAGTTCACTTGCAGTGCACGTTGCAACAGAGCGCTGTAGCGTAAAAGAAGATTAAATCCTTGATTGAATTCTGCAGGTTCTTACATGAGACTTGTAAAATATAGTAATCACGGGAGTGATAAAAACATCCATCGTACATTTGAAAACATCCAAGTTGATAATTTCAAGTTATTCGAAGGGACAATTCATTAGCTCAACCACTACATCCGTTGCATTTGTTGGACACTTTTTTGCAGACTTCGAAGCACTTATCTTTTGAGCGCCCCTTCGAGTCGATATGGAATCGCATCCAGTGAAGACCATACACAGAAGCAGAAAGAGCTATACTTCGCTCAGGTCGGGAGACATCTGTCAGGTCCCTGGTGTTGATGATGTTTTGTGATTTCCCTATCTATGCTAACAATGATGTGTTTCC